TTTGTTGTGTGGGTCGACCCAAGAGCCCCCCACACGCGCCTTCATCTCCTCCATCACATCAGCGCAGCTGGCACCTGCCACGGCTTCCACCTCCGCCCAAGCATGGATCCAGCTGCCGGAACCGGGGCACTTCATAGCACCCGCTGCCGTGGCCAAGAGCGCAAGGACAACGCGAGGAGCCATGTCTGGAGGCTGCGAACTGCGTGGTAGCAATGGAGTGTGCCGCTGGACCTTCAAAGGCTTGAGCCGGAACCATGAGGATATGAGGCTTCTTGAGGGTTTAGACTCTTGAGCCTTGAGCCCAGCGATGCCTCATTCTTGGTGCCATGGGTGCCTGCCTGCTAGTTACTCAGCACGCAAGGGCGCAGCAAATACCCAATGTAATCAGTGACGCAATCCCACGAGAGCTAATCTGCAACCTTCACCATCGGCTTCAGACACACTGGCTGCTAGAGCGGCCCTGCTTATGGGGTTTTAGAATACTACGACTCATAGATGAGATACTAATTACATATTTCACTTTATTCTATTTTGTTTGAGAACATAGGTCTCTGAAGGTGTATTGGGATTGTTGTAGCCGGCGTGGATGATGTGTCCATCACGCAGTCCACCGGTTTGTCAGCAGACAAAAAACGGGCTTTCAATGTGGATGCAAGCCCAAACCATCCCTAAGCGCCCAATGTAGCTATGCCCACAAGATCGATTTCTTGGAACGCAAAAACATGAACTTAGGATCTAGAATCTAGACTCTGCAACAGCCCCGCCCATGATCGGCGCCATAAGAAATTAACGCTACCAATCTCAGAACGCAACAGATGAGCTACTATGGTGCAGGTTGGTACGCGTGTTTCAAAAGCGACATGCAAGCGCGACTGCCAGACGAGAAGTTGCCTTGTGAACTGTCGGCGTCGATCATTGCCGTTATGCCCTGGTAGCCTCGGGCTTGAAGCTCTTAGGTGGGAATTCTGAGGGCACCATTTTCTGGGGGTTGTGTTATTGAGCCGATGCGAAGACTGTGCAATCTGCCAACACATGTCATAGCGAGCAAGAGGCGCTCGTCGCGCTTCTTCGATGCACTGGGCCGAAGAAGCACATAGAGACAGAGAGAGAGAGAGAGAGAGAGAGAAAGAAAGAGAGACAGAGAGCGAGCGAGAGAGAGAGGAGTACTGAGAGCCGGAGTTGCAGGATTTTTCGTCTCCAAATTGGGACCCTTAATTCCGAGCCAAGATGCAGCCTTCGGAACGGAAGTGGCTCAACGTGTTCCTCGGAGGAGCACTGGACGGGCGTTAATTGGCACATGTTGAACGTGAGTGAATTCAAAGAAGGCCGAAACAAAAGGAGCACCACCAAAGCCGCCACCTACTGTTAAGAGCAACGCTGGCAATTGCAATTACACCCGTATTGAGCGGTCATGTCCGGCGTATGTGCTGGAGCAACAGCCAACGATTCTCAAAATTCAGATCCTGGAGTCGTCTGGCGCGAAAGCAGCCGTAGCAGGCTGCGCATTCCCAAAGCACCCAGTGGATTGTCGGTCATGTCGATATCCTGGAACCCAGCACAGAGAAAGCAACCAAGCTCGGCCCCCCTGAGCTAGGAACTTGGAAGGAGGCCAGCGTGTCAAGATTTGCCCCTTATTAATTATGTTTGGTCAGGCTATCATCATTACATCCCCTGCATACCGTGATAGCACTGCTGTGCCTGGTGGCTGGTAGAAAGGTGATGGCAGTTTCTGTCATTTCTGCTCCCCTTGTTATCTGCTATTTGGCCCTTGAAATTTCGACCTCCTACTGGGTTCAGCGTCCTTGAGAGTGGGATGCATGTCCAATGCATCCTCGATGACCAGAGCAGACCGGAAATCCTCGCCATGGGCCACGGCTCTGCGAAAAGGAATCACAACGACTAAACATCTTGCCGTGATCAGCATCGTCATCGTCATCTCTGCCATGTTGTTTTTATGTTTGTTCGTTGCCAGGAACACAAGAGATTCGGAGCTTGACTGCAGTGGACCCCGGTTCGGCGGGTGTGGGGTCCATAGACGTTCCAAATTGCCTGATCCCTTCAGGAGGACACCCGGCCAAAACCTGAAACATGTCTGACATTTTGGCACTTGGAAGCCACATCTTGTCTCTTGCGAGGTAAGGTCGGAGTTGGAGGCATGCAAGGCTCTCCTGCAACATGGCCAAGGCGAAGCACTGTCGCAAACTCCATCTCTGGGAAGGTTGGGCTTCAGAAAACTACAGTAGTCCCTTTCTACCAGTCCTTATGATAAGGATTTTCCTACGTCGGGTCTTTTTTTCTACATCATAAGCTGCAAACCTGAGTTGAAAGACAGTGCCGGCATGGGGCGATTCGGTTTGCCACCAAGCTCAGCTTCTTCAAGGTGGAATCCCGGGCGAGGCCTGTCTCATCACTGTCACAACGATATTGCTGCAGGATGTGTGGTTTTGGAGGAGTCGTGTTTTGGTGGCTCCCCGACGCAGGCACTGCAGGTCCATACGTCTGCAAACGACTCGCGCTTAGAATTGAGCTTGCACTTGCTGCGAGGATGACCAAGCAAACCAAACCGGGAATCGTCTAGGGCCTTACGAATCAGAATGGGGTTGTGGCGCTATGTCCGCTATGTTGTGCTACACGCAGTTTGGCCAAAGTGCTCCTAACCTGCCGGAAACTTTCTAGCCGATTCTAGCTGCCCACCATTTGCTTCGAGACATTCTGAAGCCGAGACCCACACAACTTGAATAAACAAAGGGTGACCAGAAGACACCGATGTCGAGTTTGGGACTTTACCCGTAGGACTTGCGGGCAGAAGGATGGGGGATTCTGGGCAGCCGCCTGCAGACGTAAACAAACAAAGCGTTCAGTTTTGGCTGGTCTTTTCAAGGTTGAAGCTAGCCGGCATGCCTTCCAAGAGCTCTGCCACAGGGCTGTCCCGGCCCACGACGTAGGCAGCACCTGAAGCGCATGTTTCAGTCCGATAGATTCTCCTAAAGCCAAGTTGTTTGGGACGAGAGTTGGCCCAGGCTCTGTGCAGGAGTGACAACATGAGACTTGTAGCTACATTAAGAATCTTCACTGCATGAAACAATGGCGATCATGACACGGACGATAACCCAGGCTTGAGGGCTGCGAGTCTGGCACTGCTGCATTTTGAGCTTCCGCTGATGACCTATTGAGAGTGCTTGTTTTCTTGCTTGCCAGCTAGCTAAGGGTTTGGGGACTGGGTCCTCTGGCCCGAAGTACTTTTTTGCTTCATTTCTCTCTCTCTCTCTCTCTCATATATATATATATACACATACATTACACATGTGTAACAACAGAATATATATATATATATATATGTATATGTAAATACGCATGTATCTATGTATAGTATCTACCAAAACCTACTAATGTCCAGCTATGATGACTATTGCCCAAATATGTTATTAAGGGTAGTAGTGTGCCTGGCATTGGCAGTGGCAGGGTCGTGCAAAGTCGGGATGTATCCCATGCATAATGCAAACATTGCCCAAGTCTGTGCTGTCATGTGGCAGTAGTCCACTGACAGCTCCTGCAAGCAGCCTTGTGAGATCAGCTTGCCTGGGCTGAGTCTCTGTTTCGGAAAGAGAGACAGTACAATATGAGATAACTCGGTAGGAACATAAAAGTGTAGTATAGTACAGTATGAAAAAACTTCATAGAGACATATAGTCTAGTATAGTATGGTATAATAAAACGAAACGGGATTCAGATCCAATCTCCACGGCCCCATTGCATCGGACTTTACACGAGAGCTCAACTGCGAATGAACGCATGTAGAAGGCCACGGAGATTTTCAGGAAAAAGCCGCAGAGGCCCGCTTCCACAGCCACGCAAACTACACCATATCATTATCTGTGTATATATAACTAAATAAATAAATATATAAATAAATATATATATATATATGTGCGTGTGTGTGTGTGTTTATCTATATATAATATAGTGAAGAGCAGTAATAACAGAAATGTACCCCAGTTGTCGCAGCTATCGGCATGTTGAGGTCTGAGCCTGCATGCTTCGAGCCTGGCCTCGGCAGCCTACAGTAGCCTCTTCAAACAATCGCAGAAGGGACGTAGAAACCCTAACTGGTTATATCATATTATACTATACTACACTATATTATGTTTCTACTGAGCTATGTCAGGACTCCTGAGGCCCCTCAACAGACTGTATGATGAGGATCGAAAAAAGTAGTTTGGGGAGGCAGCGCCTTCATCGGCGCCTTCGGCGTCCTGTTGCAGTCCCGTGACCCATCTGATCAAACTCCTCGTGGCAGAAGCGGTTCCAACTTAGATCCAGCTTCCTGGGCGGCAACGGGGCTCCCCCTCTGCAATCCTTCGAGCCCCTGGTCAGAAGGCTCAGCATCCCAGGCTGCATGCTCCCGGCAGTCCATGTCATTGACATGCTCAATACTATAATACTACATAGGCCGGGTGAGCTCGCGGAAGTGTTTGGATTGTGCTCGGGGCACTCACAGCGGCCGCAGCGGAGAAGTGCCAAGTAAATGTGGAGCTGAACATGCGACGACAATCCCAAGGCGTGTAAATCGCTGCAAAACATGTGCACATAAAGATCGACTCCTGTTTAGTGACTGTTAGAGGTGTTGCGGATCGAGCGTCTGCAGGGCCTTGTTGACAAACAGCATGTCCAGGCAGTTTGTTGTCAAGGCGAGGTTATTGCCAAGCCCTTGCGCAGGGAGGGCGTCAAAGTGCACAGAGTTTGTCTGGCATGGGTAAACCGTGTACCTGCAAGCTCCACAGCGACAAAACCTCAAGTGCGGGAACCAAGGGTCCAAGATTGGCTGCTGCAGATGAAAAGACTTGTACAATGACCCATTGGCAGCACCACCGAAGAGCCGACAGTTCTAGCGAACGGGATTTCGTTTTAAGTCAGCAATCCCCTCAGACCCCTGTGTACTGAACAGCAAAGGGAACTGCGCAGCTGCTAGGTGCTGACGGAATCTGAAGTCACCTCTTTAATCATGCTGGGTCCAGGCCTATCCCAGCGATTGCAACCTCATGCAGTGCCTTGTGCTGGCCGATGGCTTTACCTGCGAACAAATCGAACACGGGATTCGGGGCAATGCATAAGATGATCTAATATAATATCATCTAAACATACGAGTAATATGGCTGATCCTGCACCGCATGCCATGCCCTGGGCTGCAGAGCTTCAGGTCGGCTGCACATCCCTGTCAGAACTCCGAACTGCTGGCCATCTTCTCTGGATCTCCAACCTGGTGTGCAGACCGACCGAGCTAGTGAATCCGTCTCCTGGCTGAGACGTGCTACATCCAACCCTGGCGCAAACTAGAACAGCTCCGAGATCTGGAGAAAGGCCATGGTGCATAGCGGAAGCAAACTCTGCGTTCCAATCGCAATGTGGCTCAAGTTCCTGAGTTACGCTCGGAACTGAGTTGCGTTTTTTGTCTTACCAGTTGCTTTTCTAACGTGCTTGCTGGTGTACGATGACAGTATTTTCGGATGCTCGACGATCTTACTCGGCTCTGGCCTCAAGAGATATATTCGCTAAGTTTTGTCGCCAATCTCATCTTCTTCTTCGATAAACGGGTCAGGGACTCACAGCCTTGTTGAAGCCGGCTTAATGCAAGGCTCGTTGAATGAAACCTAGAGAAGCAAAATTGCCCTCTCAGGCCACCTTCCAAGAAGCCCTTCCCAATCGCTTGCTCTGTGCCTCACCTTAACCTTTAACTCCAAATCCCAGCGTCAGGTATGCCAGCTTTCCGGCTGTCTGGGTCAGCTCAATGGCACGGCGGATGCTCTCCCGGCCGGCCTGCCTGGCGTTTTGCAGGTTTCGACTCTCACACTCGCACGTTGCAAGTTTGGGGTGTAGAACTGCTGTTCTCGTCATGTTGACCTTCGGAACAATCCTTGACGTTTATGCAGCTGGTAAGCTCTCTGCAAGAACCTTCCCAAATCACAGCCGAAGGTGAGGGCATGCTTGCAGTGATGGGTCTCGGCAATGTCTTCGGACTTGGGAAGCCAAACGCCCAAGCCTTTGTAATATGAGTGGATTCGTTAGAATGCTAGAAGCAGAATCCAGACCGGAGTGAGTATTAGGTGCCAGTGCAGCCAAACCATTGTGGGTTTAGTCAGCAGCATGGTCTGAAACACACTGCTCTTCGCTCTCATCAGCACCTGCAGCTGGAGAGGCTGAGGCGTTGAAGCTCTGCGCAAAGCAGCTCCTTATTCAGCTTGGCCAAGAGTGGTCCCAAGCTCCTCAGTGTTCGGGGGATGCAGAGCTGCCCGTTATGGCAGGTTAGGAAAAGTAACTCAGCAACTGTTCGCTACAACACAGTGAGGCCAATGGTCTTATCGGTAAGCAAAGCATTGTTCGTCAAGTCCAGCTCGTGAACGGCATGGTCCTCCGGGGCTGACGCATAGAGAGAGCTGGGACACTTTGGTGTTCGTTGGTAGTTATTGTTGAGTACAAACTTGCTGCAAGAACGATGGAAAGGGATTCAGCCTTTTACATGTTTCGCTCAGGATGACTCGCGGTCCGGAGGTGCCAATAATAACACATGTCTCCTTACTTCGCACGTGCGCCCCATTCACCCACTAGCGATTGTCGGATGCATTCAGGCGCAAAGTGAAGCTGCCGATGCCGTTGCTTTATCGAGAAGTATTGAAAAGAATTGAAAGGGTTGCAGATGCTCAGACCATGATCTCTATCCACCGTCCTCGTTGAGTAAAGCCATGGCCTTGCCACTGCGACAGGGCTTGCAGTCATGGCAGCGGTGTTGGAGATGAGACTCAGTTTACCACAACCCTTAGCAAGGCCGTGAAACCACGGACGACAGACGCGACCTCGCAGCACTTCACACTAAACCCTTCGATCAACTTTCGTGGTTGCTTTGGGAACTCTGTGTCCCGGCGGCTGCGGACATCTCGGCATCAGTGAAGAGCTGGCCGTTGGCCTTGAAGTTCCGCGTGTGACCGGTCATGAACCTAGGCGTCACTCACTGTCCGCAACTATATTAAGATGCATTATGTTGTGAAGCCAGTTCTGTTCACCTAATCATCTGATCAGAACAACTTCTCTTTCCTCGACCTATGGGTGCCACTCTGAACCTTTGAAATTTGATCTTCTCGACTCCACGATGCATATTGCGCAGTCCAGACCGTTGAAATCTCCCGAAGTTTCGCAGCAAACGGGCAAGAAAATCGTCAAGCAGGGGACTCAGACTGGACCGGAGTTGCTGACCCAAGCATGCCGTAAGATGCCGTCTGAATTCAACCTTCTCCACCATCCAGGCAGCAGGATAGGATTCGGCACCACCCGTCTCTCGTGACACTGGTCGAAGTATTGCCGCTTGCCTGAGACTCTGCCACAGCCAAGCGCAATGCAAAGTTCGTGAAGTGGGCAAGGTGGACTATGCGTCCTCGCCTTCGAAGCACATGCAAGACGTCCTTCAGAAAATCGCCTGTGACTTTCCTAGACAGTCTTCTCAGTGCATCTGGATTTCATCGGCTGGTTTGGCATCCGGTTACTTAGGTGTTCTGCAACCTGCAAGGTCGCTCTACACATGTCCCGAATGTAGAAAAACAATGAACAGAGTTTCCGATTTAGTAACTGGATTAAGGGTTCGTGCTCAATCTGGGCCTTCCCCAACAAGAAAGTATAGTCAGAACAACTAGCTCATATAGTTTCGTCAAGCTGAGAAGCCGAGAACTGAATTCCTTCATCACACTCCACGGACTATACAATTGCTAGGGATCATGACATCCCAAGTCCCCCAGCTGACACAGAATGACATCACTGTCCACAATGATAGGTGCAAATCCAAGCCGTATTTCGCCCTACTACCCACCCCGTTCAGCTCTCTGGGAAGTGGGGGCTGCCCAACAAAGATCCTCACTTCAAGGATCCCAATGTTCCCTAAGCAAACTGTTGCGGTTGTGGCTTCAGGGCCGAGCTGCCCTTCCTCACTGGCCGCAAGGCATGCGTCACCGAGTAGTCCTTGACACTCACATCCACCTTTGGAAGAGGCTTCAGAAGTTTTAGGGGAGTTTAAATTACATGTCAGATCCAGGTTCTTTCCTATTCTGGATTTTGGAATGACTTGGGCACAGGACAGCAAAGGGCTTTAGGGTTCGGGGAGGTCATAGGGCCTCACAAATGAATAGGCCATAGGAGTTTGACATTGTTGACCTCTGAGAATATCGTCCGCCCACGTCTTGTAAACAAGTGTGTGCAGCAAATAGGTACCCATACACGAATATGTAAATACACATGCCACCATGGATCTGCAAAAGTCTGTGTACTGTTACAGGATGTGCATAATCAGATATAATTAGTATACGTGGTGTGCATGTATTTGCCTTCAAGCATGTGCGCGCACACACACGCATGACATGCATCTGTACAACGCATGCGAACATCATGACATACATAGACATAGTGTATGTATATGTATACACACGCAAAAGTATGCACATGCATACCTCGCGCTTGCCTATGTCTATCTGCTTCTAGCTATGTGTATACACATGGGTGCATGTGGCACGAAGATATAAGTGCACATGTGCCTACCTGCCTGCCTACAGTTTTCTGCAGTTGCAAACACAGGCAGATGTCTTGAAAGAGGCGAACCCAAATACTATAGTTGGCACACAATACGAGTACAAGCAGGTTTTTGGTGCTTGCAGGGCGAAGCATACGCAAATCCCCAGTTCCTTTTCTTGAAATCCTGAAAGATCCGGGTGTCGCACATCGGGGGGAAAGCGCCCGTCTCCCGCGGCATCCTGCCACAAGTTCCACACACCACTCGAAGCCGACAATTGCATCCCAAAACCTCAAACCTTACACTGACATGGAGCTGACCCAAGCAGCCGGGCCTCTGGCCGATTGTTGAGCGTCAGGAGGCCCTCGTGCCTTAGTAGTACTTCTGCAGGCAGTACAACAGCCCAACCTAGGAGATGTTCTCTGCGCGCAAGCTCGAAGCACCTCTGTGTCGTCAAAGGTCCTTTTGAGATTGGAGCGTTGAAACTCAGGACGTTTTGCTGAATAACAGCTACGTCGGTGCGACCATGTCACTAAGTTAAGGCTAACGAAGACTGCCGATCAACAGGGCCTCACTAGGAGCAAAGCCCTTCATGGCGGCCGCCCAGCGAAGCGTTACAGCCTTCCGTCTAGAAGGCTTTGGGCCAACGAACCACGCAGCAAGACGAGATGATGCAACAAAACGACAGGTCGCAGAAAACAACAGCTGACACTGCCAAGTACCTCGGACTGTCCTACCTTGCAATTCCCACAGAGCCTTCAAGACACCCGCATCCCAAAGTCTGGCAGCTGAATGCTGTCTTGGTGCGCATGCTGCTGGTGGGCCAATGTGCCTTCAGGCTTCACCAAAGACCACCTGCATCAACACGAATTAATACCAGTGTCACCATCTACATACGGAACGACAGTCTGCTGAGCAACGCCACGGCAGCGACAGGGAAATCACCAAGAAGTCTTGAAGAGCAAGGGCCCTGAGTCTTTCCGAGCGAGTAGGGCCTGAGTAGGGCTTGGTGCACATGCCGACGGCCTGAACGTGCTCTTCCCATTGTGTAGCTCCAGGCGCATGTCATATCCTCAGCAATGCGGTCTCTTGCCCAGGCTGGGATCCGTTCATGTGCCCTCAGTTGGCAAGCATCATCTTGCCTGCGCCCTCAGGAACTGAAGAGAGTATCAGCCTTGAATGCCGCGATCCTTGCACTTCAACATCCTACAAACTAAGTAGTGTTGTAAAGCCAAGATTCGTGGATACTCCTCTTTAATGTCAACATGGTGGTCCTGACGCAGATCCCCGCAGCAAGGCATCATTCAGGTGACATACACATGGCCTGCATCCTTTCGGTGGTTCGCCTTGGTGTTTACCCTTGGGATTTCATCATCGACTCATGCCCCATCCACAGAGGATTCTGCAGCGAACGTAATGCTAAGCCCTAAGCCGGCGGGGAAGCCACAGAAGCATCGCAACACTAACACAAAACCCTAAGCCATCCTGAAAACTAAATTAGATCAGGGCTTTGTAACATCGCACGCATCGGCTCCCGAAGTGGCAGGTCGTGCTTGGACCAGAAGCCCTCGTTCCAGAACTCCTCCATCAAAGAGAGCTTCTGAGAGAGGGAGAGCGAGAGAGAGAGAGAGAGAGAGACAGAGCGAGCGAGCTTTGGACGATACGGGCATAGTCGGCTGTCATGTAAGTATCGTGAGACATATCATATACCTTCATGAAGTTGCAGCAAAATTAGAGCATTCCGACCCGACTTATAACTTCCCAAACTTCCCACGATTCGACGTGACAACTATAGGCCTTCAGCCCATAGCTCCGGGCAAACAGTCGACATGCGAGGAACATCCAGTGCAAGTTAAGCGGGACCTTCCACGGCCCTGCCCTACCCGACCCATCTTGAGCCCATTTGCGACCCATCTTGGTCCAATTTGCAATTCAGAGTTGCAATTCTGAACCAACTGCGAAGCGCAAACACCTGAAGCGTATGATTAGCCTGAACTTTCCGAACTGTGTCAGCTTGGCATTGTCTGCGCTCCTCCTTGCGCGCCGCGCGCTCTCGCTGGTCCTCTTTAGCTTCGTAGCCAGGATTGTTGAGCAGCCTCGGTTGACTTTAAAGGCTGGTGTGGCTGCATGAGAGAAGTTGCTTCTCTGCAGGAAAGGCAAGTTGAGCCTGCTGCCGTAAACGCAAATCACGTTGGGATGCCAGGTGGGTTAAGCTGAGCGACTTGAAGGTGAAGTGCCAGTTGTGCACGGCAGTACTGATCATCAATGTAATGCGTTTCCTCTGCAGGCCATGCATGCCCATGCACCAAAGCCTACAACCAATGGTGCCCCAAAGCCGCGGCTTCACACAAGAAATCTTTCACCACAAGCGCCTTCGGGGCCCCGAGCCTGTAACAAACAATTGCTTTCACGACATGGATGACATAAATGCCAGGCTCAGTTGGTGAATCGTCTTGCACTGCTGCTTGAAGGATCCCGGTGGTGTAGAAGGAAAAAGACCGCGATCTTTGCATTCTCGGATGACCTCAAGCAGTCATACCACCGAGAATCGAAGGAAGCCGGCACCCCCTTTCCACACGCAGCGCTTCCTCTTCCTCGTACAACCCCAGCAGATTCGACATCCTGAAGCCGTGCCAAAGCTTCTCCAATCACGCAGTCCTATCGTTATATGCAGCCTGACTCTATCAACACATTGTAATATCGCAGCCTGACGTACTAGACATCATCAGGCCCAATCATACATGATGGATCCCTGGTTCCTGGTCGACAGGCTTACGAAGCAGCTGGAGGCGATCGAGCCGAGACTAAGTACGGAGATTCGCATTCAGTCTGATTGACTTTGAATTCTTCCGCTGTCATATCGAGCTGTGAGAGCACGCTCTGACCACCTTCTTCTCCAGTACCCGAAGGACTGAACAAACACTGCTTAGAGGCCTCCGTTCTTTCTCGCGCCAGTCCAGTTTCGATTAGAGTGTCATGATCATGCTGGGAACCTCAAGTACCAACCCGAGCTTCAAACTCGTCAGTCACGAGTGGTTCCAAGCTCAATGCAGTCGGAAGTGGATAAGTATTATGTGCACGCCTCTTGGAATCCAAACTCGAAGCATGAGCGGCGATGCACCGACAAGGGGCACTCGCCATCATGAGAGCATTCAGCTGCTCGTACTTCAGGACCCCGACCATCATGTCCACGGAGGATTCTGCACGTGCAAAACCGTGCATGAAAGCAGCTGGAGGCTGGAGGGTTCCGGATAAGCATGGATCAGAGACCAAGGTGATGCTTCAGGCGATTGGAGCCACGTAGCGGTCACGTCAGCTCTACGTTCGGGTGCCACTCAACAATGCAAGTCTGGCGAGCTTGGTATTGCATGTAGGCTGTACTGGGTTACATAGCCATAACACCCTCCTCCTCGCAACTTCTTACAAGCTCTTCGTCTTACAGGCTCAAGCCTCTCTTTCTTTCCGCATGGGTGTGCTACCCCGTTGGTCCTTTAAGGGTTTGTGCTCGATCATGTCGTACTAGAAACATGCAAGGCCACACCAATGCCATCTCAAACAAAAAAGCCGCTCCAGGAAAAAGTTGGCTTCTTGTCACCACCCGATGGAACCACCTGAGCGAGCGAAGGCCGTGCGAAGGCTCTGATTCTGGTCTTGTGGGCTTTCGATGAGGCAGCGGGATGATCGAACACTGCTCAGCTCCGAGAGACCTCCCCTTGGCTGATCTGTGCAAGGAGCCCGTCGTACATGTGAATCAAACCGCCAGATACTGTACATCAATCTTGCTGTATGGGCGTCGAGAGTTCGACTGTGGTTTGCGGCTCGGAGCTATCTTTAAGACTGCTGAAAGCGAAACGTGCCACGCCCCACAGTGAAAGGCCTCACCATTTCTTTACCCATATCTCCGGATCCTGCTGCTCAGAAGGCCGGAACAACCTGAGCCTTCGAGAAGAACCTTGGCATCTACCACGGCATGGCCCGCCGAGCAGCTCCACTGAATCGTCCATGCGCTCGCTCGCTGGAACCCTCGCGCGCTCTCGCTTCACAAAGTCCTGGCGGAATCTTCAAGTTCTGGAACTTATGAGGATGGTTACAATCTTCTGAGGATGTTCGGGGACCGGGGGTGTGGCGGTACGGGGGAGAGGGGTATCCGAGAGAGGATGCTCATGGGGTTGCTGCTCCTCGCCGCTGCCGAACCTCTTAAACACTCAACCCTACTTGGCCGAGGCGCGTTCACGGAGCGACTAAAATGCCATCTCTGGCTGTATGCAGGACTCAGTGTACATTGTGCCATATCCAGCAGAACTGAGCTGTAGCCGCAAAGCCTATGGTCGACAGTTTGTGCATTGCTGGGGTGGGTTCCCGCTATGCACCCAATGGGCTAATGAATCCGAGGCATTTGTCATAAGGCAGACTGTGAAAGCTTAGTCGACACCCTTCATATTCCGCTTGGCTCTCACGCTCATTGTCGGAACTGCACGTGACTCCTAGTGGCACTCTAGGCTCCCACTTCCCACTCCCACTACAGTCGCAGGGCGGGCCCTGTCCCACGACTCAGCCTAGCCCAACGCAGACCTCAATGAATTTCAGTTGACCGACCCGGTTTTCATGAATCAAGCCAGGTCGCGGCTAGAATGCCTGAACAGGCATCATCCTCCTGGCGGTCGCGTTTTGGCATCGGGCCCTGGATGTCAATGATGTCTTCTGACATAGGCACGTACATACCTTCTTTTATCCATAAGACTCCCCTGCTTCGTAGACTTAGTAGTTAACTTCATTCGCACATGAAAACATCCTCTGAATGCTTGAGTTATTCCAATTCCACACGCAGCAGGCTTGGGATTGAGGATTGATTCCGGATCTGCAGGGTCCAGGTTGTTCGTGACCATTTCCAGACTTCTCCCGAAAGACGTGTGGTCTGGCCATGCTTTCTGAATGTTGGAGAGTCGCTGCAACAAACGCCCCAATTGACGGAGGGTGGCGGACTCCCTTTCGGTGCGGATACGAATACGGTCACAAGCATGCCTCGCCCATTGGGTGACGAGCGACCTCCGGACACCCCTGGCATTCCGCAGGCGGTTGTTCGTTGTAGAGCCTTGGATCCTGTCGTGCCAAGTTCGAATCTTGTTGGCAATGACCTTGCCGAAACCAGCAACAATTGGAGGAAGTGTACTTTCTGAGCCCTCCCTCTAAAGTCTAAGCAAAGGTACAGTGCAGGGTTTAGCAACCCATCAGCCTGCTGGTTGAACCAACTGCTGCTGCCACCGCGGCCCAGCACAGAGGAGCGGGCCAACACAGAGGAGCGGCCCAGAATCGAGGACCGGGAGCCCTGCTTTCCAAGTTGGTTCCTGGGCTCATGGGTTTATAAGTTGTAAGTTCAAGCAAAAGAAAGCCCAAACCATTCTTGGGCGTCACGGTGATTAGGGTTCATACCTCTGTAATCATGGGCTCGTGTGCTGTTTCATCAGTTCCTCGCTGTCGACACCGGGGCTTCCTTTGCCGCGGGGGCCTCCTTCTGTAGAGTCCGTCTTTCTAACTTCTACACACTGTCCACGGCTGGGGCTCCAGGAATGACTGGCTTTCAGCGACTCCGAACTTTTTAAAGCCTCACTTTCTGAACAAGACTCTCTGCACGGCAAATGGGAATGGGCCTACACTAGGCAGGCAAGGCTTACCCATGTCCCCGTCTTCCTCAATACAGGTTTTGCAGGTTTTGTGATTTGGGGAGCCCACTTTACGGCATCGCATTCGGGACTTCCCCACGGGGCAGTCTGTCTCGATAGCTTTGCCTCTGCAAGTTTCGAACGACGATGGCTCCATCGCAGTCAGTCGTTGGGTCATTCTGGAAACTTCTGTATGCGCGCGGGATGCTAGGGGGCCCCACCGTTGTCCCTGAATCTTGGCCTGCGGCCTTGTCTTTCAAAGAGCCGTCGGAAGATTTTAGGATTCTGGGGCCCTGACTTCGAAGGCAGCCTTAAGTGATACTGAGGCCAGACTTTACTGTACATGATAACATCATGACTGATGTGTCAATTGGGCGGGTTTGAGGGCCGGCCGAGAGGCCTTCCCGTGAGCCTCCTCGAGGTACTTCTCCGAAACCCTTGCGTGGCGACGGACGATCTCCTGATGTTCGGACACAAGTGTGGAGTTACTATAGATATTAATACAAATCAATATGTGTATATATATATATATATATTATATATATATATATATTACGTATACGCATGTACTCTGTGAATGTGTATGCATACAAATGTGCATATGATTGCACATGCATACATTATGCCAGCGTGGACTTCCAACAGTGACAGTGCACCGCGCCGACCACTGCGACGACGAGGACGACCACGACCACCGGAGACCAACCCACCGTCTGGCAGGATTTCGGAGCACCGCGTTTGCGCCGGAGCAGCAGATGCGGGCCCAGGAACCACATTCACCAATACTCTCTACACTGTGTACCGCATTTTGGGGAGTCTCACAATATAGCATGACATAACACTACATAGCCGGATAGCGTAACACAACAAACCGTAACCTAGCAACAGCAAAGCACAAGGTCATGTTTCATAGCGTGCCATAAACATGACTAACATCACCACCAACATAAATCCACCACAGCAGAGCATAAGATTATCTAGTATAGCACAAAGCCGAATTAAAACAGCACATCACGACATGGCAGCACATAGCAAGGGCAATGTAACCTTACACAGCATGGTAGATCTTGACAAAACCCAAAATCATCCCGCCACATAGCACCGGAAAATACACAAGCAGGTGTCGAGCGAAAAATGCAGCTGGACAAACACAAGAGACGGGCGGACAGGCAGGCAGGTAAACAAACAAGCAAACAAATGTATGTACGAGTACGTGTATATGTATGTATGTATGTATGTATGTATGTATGTATGTATGTATGTATGTATGCATGTATTTCTGCTATGTAATGGTGCACCGGTGCGGGATTTGCATTGCCTGACTGCGGCGAATGCGGGCCGATGCGTTGACAGGAGCAGAGCTATTCAAATGTCGTGTGCTTACAGCAAGCCTTTCAGCGGCTTGCCCACCTTGCATATTTTCCCTGAGAAGCCCGGTCAACATGAAGAGTCTGCCACGACAGGTTCGCCTGCTCTGGTAAAGCTTCAAATCAAATCAGCCTCGACACTCGCACCTCCAATCCTGAAAAATTCTTGCCAGGTGACGTTCCACTTCTTGTCTGGCGCCGCTTCACTTCTTGGCGGTCCTCGCTGTTGTCCCAATCATCCTTGGACTCATATATATTTGGACTCCCCGAGAGCACGAGTTGAGGTGTCGCAGTGTCGAGGCAAACCCTCATCAAAGCTGCGGAGAAGTCGCCAAAGTGTCTGCTAAACTTCGCACTCCCGCAGAGGCTGCTGTGCCGCCTGAAAACGGGGATGAACAACAGCCGTCAACTATACTTTCCGTGGAGTGCCCAAGCTCGGCTGGAGTAGTCAGCATGCATAAACTGGAATTACGTAGACTTTGCCAAAGTGTGCGGCGCACACTGCACGAGCGTGTCGTGCTGCGCCAGCTCAAGCATGGCAGCTTTACAGTGTAAGCTTTGCAGCGTTGGTACGCCGTTCTAGCTCAAGAACTGTACGGGATAAGTCATAATTCATCACCTGCTCTGAACAGTGGCGCCCTAGTGCGTGAAGCCCGAAACTTCAAGCCGATACTGTTGGCTCGTTCCCTACCTCGCTCTGCCGAAGCTGTGTGACCTGGAGCATCTCCTGCTCAAGGAAGCAGGGGGCGCTGGAAAGGTGAAGGGAGAGAGAGAGAGAGAGAGGGAGCAATGGCCTCGCTGTAGGCCAAGGAACTCAGACTCAGGACTGTTCTTCTTGTCTTGCCGTTTCCATCGAGGAGCTTCAGTCAGTTTTCCGCAAGCACTGCGACGGTTGCTTCGATTGTGTCTAAGGTTCCATGCCCTGACTGCGAATCAGACGCCTTCGTCGAGCTCCAGCAATGTCCCCAGCAACGACTGAGACTCCATGCCGACTCATGCTCTGCGAGGAGTGGTTGTCTTATTGTTCTCTTCTCCTGGCCAGGAGATGTTTTCACAGGAGCAATGTCTGCCCAGATACCACTGCTCCATTGACGGGTTTTGGCCTGCTCTGCTTCATTTGCTCGGACCTGGCTTGTGCAGGAAACGTGTCCGTGTCTGGTGCAGGCACCATGTCTCATACCATCTCCTGCTCTGAGCCGCGTGAGTATGCACATGGAGCAGTTTGCGAAGAGACTTATGGAACAACCATGCGAGGTCCTAATTGTATATTGCAGCGGCACTTCTAGAAATGAGTCATCCACTGCCAGGGTAACAAAACAAATTGTTCTCCCAGGAAATGGATGTCGCCTGCTCGTCAACTTCTTCCATCGATGCCTGCACCGTCTGAGCCTGGGACCCCCCCGGTACCGTTTGTGCTCGGTCCTGGCGGCACCAGAAGACGATTTTACTAGGCCGATGTCGACTTCAAACCTTGGACACGGCATGCCCCTGAACACACTGACACTTTAGAGGAGGCGGGTGCTACAACCCATGCAAGCGCAGCCCGAGACCTCCAACTCAAAAGCCAACGACCTTTGAGCCCTGCAGCCTCTGCTCGCCACAGGCTCCTCCTCCATGGCCAGGTTTTCTGGCTTCACGGACCTCAGCATAACAAAAACAGCAGGGTCAAAGACATAGTCAGGACGATGCTCGCAGTGGTGGTCGGTGGCCAATGTTGACCGCAAACATGACCAGCAGGTTCGTTGGGATCACCGTTCGCGCGACTGTCACAATGAGCACCACTGGAACAAAGCCAGCTTGATCATGAGCATGCAACCAATGACTATCACTTGCACCAGCACCAAGGCAATTACCACAGTAACAGTAGCACCTAACGGTAGCAGTAGTAGCAGTACTACATCGTAGCTGTTGTAGCAGCATGAGCAGCAGCAGTAGCAGGCATTATTTGTAGCAGGGACAGAAACCCTGAATCCGCAGCTGAATCCTCCGACAAGTGAGCCCTTGGCTTGATCTCGCCTGTGGATATTAGCCGCACCTGCTTCAAAGCGGCAGGGGCCGGGCTTCGGCTTTGACAGTTTCAATTCCAACGCCCCAGTAGAGGCTTAGCAGTTCCCAGGATCTCGGATACTTGCTTTCGCAGAATTTGTGTTTGATTTGCAGCGTCTGTGCTGTAGCAACCAATGTGTCGGCGTAAACCCCAAACCCAAGCCCCGTTTTCCGGGATCCTTGACAGCAATAGCCGAAGCAGTAGTCGTCGTCGTCGTCGACGTCG